AGGCTATATCCCAGTCTTCAGATGATCTTATATGCTGATAGAGACAGTCAGTCACATAAGAACAAGGGGCCAGTGTTGTGGTACAGTGGGTTAAACTGCCACCTGGGATACTGGCATCCCAGATAAGCACCTGGTTTGAATCTTGGCTGGTGTATTCCCGGGTCTCACTCCCTGCTAGTGTGTCTGGGAAAGCAGTAGATGATGGACCAACTGCTTGGGCTCCTGCCACCGCAATGACAGACCTGGTTAGAGAATGAATAAAGGGAAAGGAAGAGCCATTAAAAACTCCAACTGTTTCTCCTTTAAGTCCCGTGTTAGAACTGACCCTTCTTTATTTCCTCAGTTTTGCTCCTCTTGTGTCTTCTTCCCTTCCCCTTTCCTATCACCTGAATCAGGATGACTTACAATAATGAAAGAAAAACTGTTCTCCTTAAGCTTATTATTGTAAAATTCATTTACTTTGGGATGCTGCAGCTTGAGAAACAATCCCCATGGTCTTCTCTGTGTCTCCTCTTGTGCCTCTGGGCTGGTCAGATGCCCGGAGAACTTGGGAAGAGCCCAGCATGGCTTCTTTCCCTGCTGTTGTAGCAAGCTCAAGTAGGAAAGTGGGATCATTAACTTAGAAAACTTGCAACTGATTTTTTTTTTTTTTTAGAAAATGTGTAATGGAGCTTTATTATTGTTTAACAAGGTTTTGGTGGGCCTATGGAAATGGCTAAGCTAGGAATTACAAGTAAAATAAAAAATACTGGAAGGGAGAGGACTGGTTGTTATTTGTGGACAATTAATCTTCAGAAACCCCTCACCCCCCAAAATCAACAAAAAGTATTTTAAGAAATAACTTTAAAAGACTAAAGTACATGAATGCAACATAATGTATAAAGATCAGCACCTTACCTATTGTGAATCAATTAGAAGGAAGTGGGGGGAGTCTTATTCATGAAAACAATTTTTAAAAAGCCTATTTAGAACTAGCTTTTGGGATTATGCAGTGTAGCAAGGGATAGCTCAAGCTGTTAGATCCCTGCTTTTTCTCTTTGACTCTCAAATACTTTTTTTTAAGATTTATTTTAATTTTTATTGCTAAGGCAGATATACAGAGAGAAGGAGAGACAGAGAAAAAGCTCTTCTCTCTGCTGGCTTACTCCCCAAGTGGCCATAATGGCCACAGCTGAGCTGATTTGAAGTAAGGAACCAGGAGCTTCTTCCAGGGCTCCTACATGGGTCCCAAGGCTTGGGCCATCCTCTACTGCTTTCCCAGGCCACAAGCAGGGAGCTGGATGGGAAATGAAACAACCAGGATATGAACCAGCACGCATATGGGATTCTAGTGCAGGTAAGTGGAGGACTTTAGCTACTAGGCTGCTGTGCCTGGCCCACTTTTTTTTCTTAAAGATGTTTATTTTGGTGTAAAAAATTGATATCTATGCATAACTTTTTCATAAGATAAATTTCTCCTGAACTTTTTGAAGATCACACATACACACATATATAATCAAAATTATTGGACTATAACAGGCTATTAAAATTATGTTGAATAACTTATTATGAAAAAAAATAGGATATAATAGAATGATATAATAAAAACAAACAGAATTAAATGTAACATTACCAAGTATGAGCATATCATATGAATAGAAAAAGACTGGGTTAAAATATACCAACAAATATGTCTTCAGCCTTAAATCCTGACTTTTGATTAGGAGCAAATTTGGTTTTCTTCTATAAACTTTTCTGCATTTTCCAGATTTTATGCAATGAATATGAATTACCTTTTAGGCAGAAAAAATGACTGTTTAAATAAATTGTGATGATATAGCATACAGTGGAAGAATTCTCAGCCTTTCAACAGAGTGATTATTTATATACACATCAACATGGATGAACCATAAAGCATCATGCTAAAGAAATTTGACCTAAAAGGCCATCTATTTTATGATTCTATTTTATGACATTCTGAAAAGGCAAAATTACAGATGGAGATGCAGTACTGAAGGTGAAGGAATATGAGGGGAACTTGATGGGGTATTAGAAATATTTTATATCTTGACTAGGACAAATTTTAAAAAGGACAAATTTTATTTCATATAAGTTGCATTTTAATAAACTTGACATTTATTTATTTGAAGGGCAGAGGTACAGAGAGAGAAGGAGAGGCAGAGAGAGAGAGAGAGAGTAAGAGAGAGAATTGACTGGTTCACTCCCCAAATGGCCACAATGGCCAGGGCTGGGTCAGGCTGAAGCCAGGAGCCGGGAACTTTATTGCCATCTCCCACATGGGTGCAAAGTCCCAAGTGTTTGGGTCATCTCCTCATTGCTTTCCCGGGCACATTATCCCCTGGAGAAGGGAGAACTGAAAAAACTAGGTCATGAACTGGTGCCCATAGGGGATGCTGGCATTGGAGGCTTAACATACTGTGCCACAATTAAATCTTTTTTTTTTTTTTTTTAAAGCAAGCATAATAGTCCAGGTTGTGGAATGTTTTTGTAGTATATGTAACTTTTAGAGCATGATCAAACAGTTCCAAAAAGTTATTGTCTTACATTAGGTTCATAGAGTTTTCTGAGTATTGGACATATCTGTTATATGCAGAAATGCAGATATACAACTTGCTGCCTTGGCTATTACTACCAGAATGTTAATGAAAAAAGGAGATACCACATCATTTCTTTTTTCCTAAAATTTCTTTCTTAGCAATTCCTGAAAGAAATATTTGAGGGACAAAGAGAGAGAGAGAGTCTTGGAAAGCTCTTATCTCTCTCTGGTTCACTCCTCAGCTGTTTGCAACAGAAGGCTGGACCAGGGCTGGCAGTGGGGAACTTAGGGCCCCTACAAGGGTGGCAGGACCAATTTACTTGAACTGTCGTCAGCTGCTGCCCAAGTGTGTACTATCAGAAAGCTGGATTCTGGTGTAGCACTGGAACTTGAGCCCAGGGACTCGGATATAAAATTCAGACATCATAACCAGCATCCTAATTGCCAGGTCTAATGCTTGCTGTGGTTACTCTTGGTTCTGTTTTTAAAAATTTATTTTCTTTTTATTTGAGAAGCGAGTGTTACACAGAGACAAGGAGAGACAGAACAATCTTTCATCTGTTGGTTCACTCTGCAAATGGCTGCAGTAACCAGAGCTGGGCCAATCCAAAGCTTCTTTAGGCATCTTTTACATGGATGCAGTGGCCCAAGCACTTGGACCATCCTCTGCTGTCCTCCCAGGCCATAAACAAAGAGCCAGATGGGAAGTGGAGCAGCTGGGACTTGAACTGACCCATATGAGGGGCTGGTGCCACAGGCATAAGCTTGATTTGCCACACCATTGTGCTGGCCTCAACTTTTGCTTTTTAAAAGTGGGAAATTTGTATTCAGTAAATTCTTTGAACCTTTTTCCATGTGTCTATATACATAATTTTATTTTTTAAAAAATTGAAATAAATCTTGTAATATGGAATGAATTATTAAAGTATGCAAGAGGGATTTTTAGCTCAGAAAATTGGAACTCCTGCATGCAAAATATCTTTAATAGTGTCCTTGTTAAGGAAGCAGCATTTAGTCTAGTGGAAAATACACTGGTCAATATGCCTGTGTCTCACATCCTGGTTCCTGGCTTGGGTCTTGAGCCCAGCTTCTGCTAACACAGGCTCGAGGAGGTAGTGGTAATGACTTAAGTTGCCAGGTTCTTGCCTTCTACACAGGAGCCCTGGGCTGAGTTCCTGGCTCCCTGCTCCAGCTGGGTCCAGTCCTGGCCATTGCAGGCATTTGGCGAAATGAATCTGTGTATGCAAAGGGTGTATGTGTGTATCTGTACAGGTGCGTGTGCACACGCCTGCCTCTCAAATACATTTTTTAAAGTTTATCAATACATATAATGGGAAGCTTATGTATGGATTCCAGAATTTTTTGGCACCAAGTTGAACTTACCTTTTATTTATACTTTTCCATGAGCTTTATGAAGTGCCCTTATACATTTCAGTGGCATTTATTATATTCATATATAGTATAATCATTCCCCCTGTTCCAAAGCATTCCAGAAGTGACCTTTGTACCCATTAAGTGGCTACTCCCTATTCTACTTTCTCCCCAATCTGCTTTCTGCCTCAGTGGATTTACTTATTCTGGATGTTTCATATAAATGGAATCATTATAATATGTGACCTTTTATGTCTGGGTACTTTTACTTAGTGCAATGTTTTTGAGGCTTATAATAATATGCTTTTCAGCTTTCAATCAGAAGCATGTACAATTTAAATGTTAAAATGAATCTGAGTGGGATTTTGGCCTAACATATAAACTCGGTTTATTTTTCTTTGTAAAGGTACTTGGAGGTTTTGAAATCTCCTGTTGCCACGGTGGTTGCCATTTACAGAGTGTTCACAAAATTTATTGGATGATCATAGCGGCCCAGTGAAATAGACAGGGCAAGTGTTAAAAAGCGCATCGTGCAGTTCTGATAGTACAGCTCAACACTATGGCTAACAGTAAAGGCACATAGTGTATTTTGAGTGCTTAGCCTGCTCTAAATGCTTCACATTCATTGATTTCTGTAAACATTGACAACAATCATGTGATGTAGCTACTATTATTATCATCATTTCACAGATGAGAAAATTTAGAGCCAGGAAAGTTAACTTGCTTTAGGTCTCATGACTGGTGAAGCTGGAGTACGATTCCGACCCAGGCAGCCGTGGCGCCAGGGTCTGTGCCCTTGACTAACACACATCCAGCCTGCCTGGGCATGCATTGTGACCTGTTTTCTCAGCGGATCTGTGGCGCAGCTCAGGCCGCTCGCCAGCTCTTCTGGATGGTGGCAGCTCACGAGCTGGGCCCCTCTGCTCTTCTCCCTTCTCATGAGAACACTTCCTGCCCATGTTGTGCACATCTCCCTCTGTCACATGAAGAGCATAAACCTGCAGACTTTTCTCGCTGGTCTTACACAGAATAGCATTGCCTAGCCTTTTGCAGTGGGTAGTGGCTCTCTTAATGATGTCTCTTGATCCTGCAGGTGTTAGCTACTGGAGAGTGCCTCATGAACTGATAGAATGTTGGACTCTGGAGGAGCGGCCTTTACTTGGAAATCTGCGTCACATGGCTCCGATCCGAAAGAGGTGATCCGTGTTGTATTGTTTTTAAGGCTTTAACCAAAATCCTTATTAGCTTTGTGAAAAGGAAATGGTTAATAGTCATTGCTCTTACTAAGCTTAATAATCACATCACCTTGGTCAATTTTCTACTTTACCATCAAACTATCTTGAGAAATGCAGTTTCCAAAAAATGTAAAATATGGGATTAATTCTCTAAAACTGGATTTTAGTATATTCTTACTGAGTTAGTGTGGTTTCACAAATGCTAGAGGACATAGAATGCTCTGGTAGGCATTTTTCTCATACAAAATTAAAATCCCAGACTAGATTGGCAATAGTAAAAAATTCTCCTTAGACACAATACTTGAAATTTCCTGTGGCTTACTCTGAATTCCTTTCTCTTTCCTATTACCACAAATAACATTTTTGTTTAATGGTATTTTCTTGTGTTCTGTGAAATTGTTGGCATTAAGCTCACTATGCATCTGTCTCTTTTCAGTATGTCTTAAATTTATTTAAAATAATATTTTCTTTTTAATGTCTGGGTTTTATTCATGGCTTTCAGATGTTCTGATTTCTTGATCACCTATTTTAATATCCCCGTGGAATTTCAAAGTAGTCTTTTTTGTCTTCTGGTCTAGTCAAAATGGATCTTCTTAAATTCTGTATACTTCCATTATCATCATTTATTTTGCCTTCTGATTTATGTTTGCTTACCTGCAGTTAGCATATCTTATTTGGGTCTAGAATAGTGCCTCTCAATGTGAGGGGAAGAGATTTTGCTCCCTAGGGGTATCTGTCAAGGTTTGGAGATATTTGTGCTGCTCACATTGTGACTTAGGGGATACTGTTGGCATTTAGTGGCTACAAGCCAGGGTTGCCACTAGGGACTACTCTGACCCTAAGTGGGGCAAGTGCTGAGGCTGAGGAACCCTGCGGTTGAGTCTGACAGATAACAGAGGAAGCACACGGAGCGGACAGGTGGCTTATGGACATTCTCCTACCCCTTTGTTGGCTGTCTTTTCTTTGGGAGTTGCAGCCACAGGATAACAATGACCGAGAAGCACTTGGGAGATCCAACAAGCCACCTGTGTCCCTGGAGAAAATGGAATGATGTTCAGTAGAGTTTTAGGAATGACGACATTATACTTACATTCTTTGCTACCTGTAGCAGTTTTCAGGTAATCCTGCTGTTACCATCTTGTTTCCAAGAATGAAAGTTTGCTGTGTGAGCGCTAACAGCACATGAATATGTGAGAGCAAGCAGATGGGCAGGATTAGGCTACCCTCCCTGTTATGGAAGGAACAGACAGGGCTGTGACAGTAATTTGACAGTTTTAAAGTCATTTCTGGGGCCTGGAGCAGTAGCCTATGGCTAAAGTCTTCACCTTGCATGTGTCAGGATCCTATATGGGTGCCGTTTCATATCCCGACTGCTCCACTTCCCTTCCCGCTCCCTGCTTGTGGCCTAGGAAGGCAGCAGAGGACAGCCCAAAGCCTTGGGACCCTGAACCCACATGGGAGACCTGACAGAAGCTACTGACTTTGAATCAGCTCAGCTGTGGCTATTGTGGCCACTTGGGGAGTAAACCGGCTTAAGGATCTTTCTCTCTGTAAATCTGACTTTCCAATGAAAACAAATAAATTAATTAATTTAAAAAGTCATTTCTGGAGATGCTTTATCTCTGGGTTTTTGTAATGAATGATGAGTTCAGTTTGGGAATATTCGGAGCTTTGTCTAGTACTCAGTTTTTTAAAAGCACCTAATCATATTATGGGTTTGGCCATTCTAGCAGCATTTCCAAAATTACGTCCTACAGAAACAAATTTTACTGCATGTCCAGGATTTCACTCCAGAATGATTGGGAAATAGGAGTATAAATCTAACAAAGTTAAATACACATAGGGATCTTTATATAGGCTTCCTTAGAATCTTTCCTATGCTAACATGGAAAAGAAAATAGTTAAGAGCATTTCTCAGGTTTGCTTCGTCTTGAAACCACTGGTTTTTTCCCCCAGTACATATCTTGAAACTGCAGTTCTGGAAAAAAACAACTCTAGGTATGTTATATATCCTGCTAACAGAGCATGATGTTGCAAATTCGTTGGTAACATTCCCACTGTCCACTGGTTGGTGTTAGCATTATGTGAGTCTTTGAAGGACACGTTTTGTCTTCAGGTTGCAGTAATCGTTTACATTGTGACCTCAGTGGGGGATGTGAGACGAGGGAGGTTGATCCCTATAAACTGCTCAACTCTGGGGAAGGCCTGCAGGTATGCTTTGGGAATGAGTTCTTTGGCTGCTCAAAAGGTGGATGCTGAGAATGACCTGCTTCTGTATTTCTAGGCGACTGACAGCACTCCAGGAGGAGGAGGAAGAAGGTGTGAACTGTAAGGCTGGGCCAAAGCCTGTCCGATATTTGGGTCCTTCCACAAGCACCCAGATTAAAGTCAAGAACTCAGCTGCCGTCAGGGTGTCTCCAGCCAGTGCCAGTGAGACTGCTTGTGGGGCAGCGGCACACCCATCTCAGATTGGCGGCAGCAGAAGGGCAGCTCAGCACTGTGCTTCCCCTCCGGGCACAGTAGGCCCCAGGCACACTCAGGCTTCCCGGGAGGCAGAGAGTGCTGAAAACGGAGCTGTACCCCCACCTCCAGCCAAGGTGCTGCTGTGTGACAGGAAGTCTACACCCCATCGTGTGATAAAACTGAAGAGGACTCCGCTGTGTGTTGCCATGCCCTCCCTGCCCAGCCACCCCACAGAGAGGCAGGCAAGCTCCCCCGAAGCGCTGGCTCTCCAAGCTTGCAGTGCTTTGGGAGGGCAGACTGAAAATGGGAAAGACCAGGTGAATGGATAAAAATGGTGCACTCCAGACTTGCTGCTTCTCTCTAAGAGCTTCCAGCCCCTTTGACAGGAATAATTGTCACTGTTTGTTGAGGCAGCAGGGGTCTTATTTAGGATTAATATTTCCTAGAATTATTAGTATGGGAAAGATAAGTTGTGTGAAGGTGGAATGGAGGAGAGGAGACTTAAGCACTTGGTGTTTAGGTTTAACTCTCGTTTCCCAACTATGGTGATTGTCCATGGGCAGTTTCTTGTTTTCAGTGCGGTTTGCTCAACAGTTAATTGGCACTAGGATGACAAAACTGAATAGCAAGAATAATCACTAGACCGGCTACTCTGTTGCTGCAGTAACTGTTGACTCCAGGCACTCTTGGCCTGTGCTCCTTGCAGGGACAGGCTTTGCAGTGTTGGCTTAGATGTTCCGGGCTAGGGAAATGTAGAGTGATGTCTGTGGGTCTGTGTGCTCTACCACAACCAAGAAGGATTCAAGAACAAGAATGGAGATCAAGGTGAGCTGCCTCCGTGGTACTCTCAGTCATGAGGCAGCAAGAAAAGAATTGAAGTGGGCCTGGGCCCGGGCGGGTGAGTCGGGGGAACAGTAATTGGAGGTCACACTTGAACTCTCGTTTAAGTGAACTACTTTCTTTCTTAGATTGGCTCTTCTTGGTGTTTTCTGTAAGCTGATTTATTTACATCCACCAGAAGATGATTCCTTGTGAGAAGAACAGTAAACATGTCTTAAATAAGTTGTTAGCACATTTGGATTTGGATAGTGAGGTTTAAAAAGTCCTTTGAAAAATAGAGGTAAAGGAGTTTTTAAGTAAAGTTAACATTTGTTATTCAAAAATGACCATTAGAGAGTCATTCTGACACTACAGAGTGATTTTTATGCATAAAATTTCCATAGAACTTGAATTTAATATTTTTAAACAGAATATTTTGATCTATTTTCATAACTATTCAGTTGTTGTTTTTACTCTTATATGTTTTATTTTATAATTGGATCACACAATCCTACTTTCAGTGCGTGCTATGCCTTAAGTGTGTTAAAAATAAATTCATCAAGCAGGATACTTTTTACTCAAATGTTTATCATTGTACTTGCATTGCCTTGAAGAAGTAAATATGCTGCAAGCATTACTTTCTACAAAATAAAGTAAAAGTTTTCAGTAAAATGTGACATTTCCCTCCTCCCCACCATGATTGTGCTTATTTAAGCCTTGGAGCCATTCAGTGCTTTGGAAGCTTGTTAGTTTGTATAGGTTATCTCTTTAAGCTTGCAAAATTGCTTTTTTGTCCAGATAGTGTAATATTAAACTAATTTTGGAAAACTATCTACTGGAAACTTTTGCAATAGGTGCTTTATTTGGCTAAAAAAAAAGTCATTATTTGAAAACCTTATAATAGCATTTTCCTTTGGAGTATTTAAAACTTGAAGTCATCTTTTTAAAAGGTTGTTAAAGAGATTCCAGGCAAATCTGAAAATCAAGGACCACAGAAAATTTTGCAACTCCCAATCTGGACATTATGAGGATTGCTTGTGTTACTGATTCATATAAGAACATTTTATGCTTAATAAATGTATAATGCATCTTTTATGCATAATAATAGACATTTACATGGAAATATTGCACCATAATTAGGCATCTATGATGCAAACACCAGCATCCACATTTCTTTGCATCAGATAGTTTAAGGGAAATCTGTGCAGCATTTCTCTGAAGAGTGTCTTGTGTGACTGCTGAGGTGGGGAGGAGACAAGCTGTTCTTCGTGGGTGTCAGGTTCAAAAGCCATTTTTTGAATGTGTGAGTTAGCTGAACAATATTATTTGGGCATGGTTCTTTGGGAGTTGACCTCATTTTATATGAAAAAAATAGTATTTTACTCAGTATCAGACTGCAAACATAAAAAGGTTGATACTCAGCATAACTCATGTTGTTTTTCTGAGAAAAAAGAGAGAAAGAAGAAAATAAAAAGTAAAGTTTTATAAATGTTGATTTCAAAAGTCGGTTTGTGCGATTGGATTAAGGACACATAGAAATTCTCAGTGGCAAGTAAGATAGTTAAATATTACTCATCTTAAAAGATAATAATAACTGATTGTGTTTTCAGATGTGTTGCTAATTGACTTGCCCCAACTAAAACTGGGTGGTTATGTTGTGGAGGGTCCAGGACTGCCAGGGGGACCCATGGAATGCTTTCTGTTGTTTATAACACCTTTAAAAAGTGTTTGTATGTATTTTCTTGCTATTCAGAACAACAAGGTAAGGACGGTTATCTTTTCCCAGTTCTAGATGGAGAAAATGAGGGTCAGAAAAGTTAAGGCTGTACAACAATGATTACATGGCCTCCCATTTCAGCCCCAGGACTGAACTGTTGGCTGACGTGGTATCATTATGGTGAGAGGAAAAGCTAGAGGGAGAAAATAAACATAGTATTTGAGGTTTTTTTTTTTAAAAATGATTGATTGACTTTTTTGGAAGTCTGAGTTTCAGAGAGAGGGAGAGACACAAATCTTCCATCTGCTGGCTCATTTCCCAAATGGCCCTGATGGACAGGAATGGGCCAGACCAAAACCAGGATCTTCATCTGGGTCTTGCATGTGGGTGGCAGAGGTCCAAGCACCTGGACTCTATTCTGATGCTTCTCTGATCCAGGGAGCCACAAAGCTGGTCCCTATTGAGGGTGTTTTTGGTTTGGTTTGGTTTGGTTTGGTTTGGTTTGATTTGGTTTGGTTTGGTTTTTTTGCAGCAAAGCATTCAAGGGTTCGGTTACCTAATGCATCTGTGTCCCACTAGATAGGGACTCCGTTGTTCTATATCTGCAATGCCTGGTCTGCTGTAGGACTTCAGTGAGCTCTGAGCAGCTGAGGGTATCCCTCAGGCCCCAGATTATTTCCAAAAGCATATTGGTAGCAAGCTTCAGGAGATACAGTGCTTTCCTACTTCATGGAATTTATCCTGTGGGGAGAACAAAGGAGGTGTTCATGCAGATTCCTTGGGACAGTGGTATAGGAGTCATGACAGTAATGGCTATCACTGTTACCTGCCTTGTCAAGTCATGTGAAGTCTCACCAGATCCCAGCGGTCAGCAGCAGATACCTCCTGTCTTCCATGAGAAGAGGAGCCATCTTTGGCACTTCTCTTTTGCTGTGGCAATTTTTTTTTCCAGCCACAGACTGACTTCATTGGATCCTTAGTGAGTGCTAATAATGTTGACTCACTTCCTGCTCTCATCAATCCACTGTAATTAGTGTCCAGTAATATTTCAGCTTTAAAAGTTTATTATTCTGATTACTAATGGTTAGATCTCTTATTTTTGTTGTTTAAATTATGTTTATTATTTTCTATGATGCAGTTTTGTAGTATAGGGATTCCCTCCTTTTCCTCCTCTATCCCCCCATGTCATTACAGCAGTATAGTCCTCCAGCAACAATTGCAAGTTCAACATTCTGCTACCCATGTTCTCAGCAGCATTGTAGGTATAGACAAAAGCAGGAAATATAATACCTCAATTTTAAAGATGAAATTAACACACAGACATGTGATCTTACCTAAGAAATTATCCCTAAAATATTTCTGTATTCAAAATGTTTTACATGGCATTTTGAATGTGCACAAAGATTCTGCAAAGGGAAGAAAAGGTGACATAGGACTACAAACTTGCTTTATAAAAGATTGCGGTATATCTGCCGTTCCTTTGAATGGCTTTAATCTATATTTGGTGAAATGTTGATTAGATACTGAAGAGATGAAACTTATAAAATGAAACAAAAGAACTTCTTTAGCACACAAAAAGTATTTTGAAATAATTTGCATTTGCTTATTCGTTGGTTAATTAGGAACCTTTAAATTAGGGAAAATACTGTCATTTTCGCATTTTCCCATGTGCTGAAACTCTCCCCTGAGTGCTTGTCAACAAGTAGTGGATTTCTCAAGGAATGTGGATGAATGGTTCTTTGTTGAAGGCTGAAGTTGGTCTGCAAGATTTCAAGCATGTAGTACAGCCAAAAAAAGAAACATTATGAATAGCCAACAGGAAAACAGTATTTATTTCCAGCTGTTCCCAGAATTTCATATGCATGGAATTTGGTGGGTGATGTGGCCTCCCCAGGGCCACTTCCACCTGGAGTCCTGTCGGCCTCATGAGAGGCACATGGTTTGCATTGTGACAGAGAAGTTGCTTTTCCTCGGTTCACGTGTGTCACCTTCAGACAGCCCCAGAGTCCCCGCTTGCCAGCTAGGCGGTTTCTGATGGACGCTGCAGCTAAGACAAATAGAATTTTATGGAAACTGTCAAGTCAGTATGTTACCTTATTGTTTAGTTAACGGCTTGTCATTCTATCATGTTCTTCTCTTGTTATTTACTTTTTTGGGCCCCTCTTCCCTCAAAAACCTCGTTACCTCAGGAAAAGCCTGCTGAGCTCCAGGTATGAAGTTGGGGCCTGGGATTTAGAAGTGAAATTTGCTTGAAGCGAAGAGCACGGGATGGAGGGGGCGTATTGGCTGTAGTTGGGGAACAGCATGTGCTACTTTCTTCTGCCAGGATTTGTCCAAATGTTGGACATAGCTGCTTCCATAGCAGCCCTTTCAGGAGTTCATCCTGTGATCTCTTCCTTCGGAAGGCCCGAGGACTCAGTTTCTGTGTAGATGACATTGGCAGCCATAGGACATAAGAAATTGTACATTTGGGTCTTCATGTGGGTTGGGCAGTCTGGAATTGATCAGCTGAGCTGAACCAGTCCTGCCTCCAGCCCAGCTGGAGGAAGCAAAATGTACTTACTTGTCTACTTCATCTCTGTTTTCTTTCTCCAAATCCCTTGGACCCTCTTATTGTAGTCTGTTTTTGTGTTGCTAGGACATAAAACCTGAGTCGTTTATAAAGAACAGAAACTATCTCTTATACTTCTAGAAGCTGGGAAGTCCATGAAGGGTCCGGCGGGGGGCGGGGCTTTCTTGCTACATCACCCCCTGGTGAAGGAAGTGAGTATAATAAAGGGAAAGATTGGAGACCCAGTCACATGCCTTTTTGTAATTGGCATTAATGCTTTTTTGGGGGGGAGGGGGAGGGATTTAAAGGGGAGAGGAGGATATTTATTTATTTATTTATTTATTTATTTATTTATTGACAATCTTTACATAGTTAATTTGGGTAAAAAGGTTCAAGGGCTACAGGAAAGTGGGTAAGATTATTATTTCCATATTGTTTCCTTCATGTATCTGAGGTAAAGGGGGATATTGAGGGAGAATCCCCACCCGGTTTGGCATTAATGCATTCTTAAAAAGATTTATTTATTTTTATTGGAGAAGAGACAGAGAGGAAGATCTGTCTGATACTTCACTCCTCAAGCAGCCGCAACGGTCAGAGTTGAGCCAATCCGAAGCCAGGAGCCACTTTGGGGTCTCTCATTAAGGCACAGGGTCCCAAGGTTTTGGGCCGTCCTCGACTGCTTTCCCAGGCCACAAGCAGGGAGCTGGATGGGAAGTGGGGCTGCTGAGACCAGAACAGGCACCTACATGGGATCCTGGCACATTCAAGGTGAGGGCTTCAGCCGCTAGGCTACCATGCTGGGCCCATTAATCCGTTCTTGAGTGTTGAAGTCCTCACAACCTAAATATCTCTTCTATTAAAGCCCATCTCCTAACACTTCCTACATGGTTTTTAGGTGATGTATTGAAGCTGCGGCACCTCCGGAGCAGGGGTTCTCACTGGCGGCACTGCTGGTGTTTAGGATTGCAGGATCGTTTATTGTTGCGATTGTATCAGGCACTATAGGCTGTTTAACAGTAAAAATATCTTCAATTTTTTCTAAATGTCATTTGGGAGCTACTGCTGCTGTTGAGTTCCTTAGCCTGAGCAAAGAACTGGACTGCCTTTGCTTTCAGGGAGGGGACACTGAGCGGACAATCAGCCTAAAGGAAGTGGTGCTGTGGCCTGGAGAGGGAGGGCAACACCAAAGGAAGGAAGTCCCTGATCTGCCAGTGGGAAAAACAACAACCCCAAACCACCCTTTGGAGTCCCAATCTGCTGCTGGTATTTCTGTTGTTTTGACCAAGTGGCTACCTAAGAAAAGCTAAGATGCATTCTCCTAATTTTGTTAATGTTGGTAACTTACATGTTAGGCTAACTTCAGGACATGAGCCTTCTGTTATCACCCATGTTTTACGCATGGAGGAACTGAAGCACGGAAGAGTTAGTTAAGCTGCTGAGGAGTCCAAGCCAGCACCCACATCTACGTCATCTTACTCCAAAATCCAGATGCCTTAGCCGTGCTGGTTATAGGAGTTTCCTGTTTTCATCCCCACTGATGAGCTAGGCAGCATCCACGTACTGCATGGCTAATCGTCATATTTATCACATGCTCTCTAAGGATGAACTACCAAGCCATTGCATCTGCTAAGGCTTGGTTATGGTCTGAGTACCTCCTACCCGCACACCTCTCCCCCTGCTCCCTCCCCTTCCCCACACAACTCCCTCCAGCTTCATGTGTTGTCATTTTGATCCTCATTATGAGGCATTGAAACAATAGAAATGTGATCTATCATGTTTACAAATGGGTCCCTTGAGAACTGATTATGATTAGATAAAATTGCTATGTCCTCGTGATTGAAACCTGATGCTTTATAAAGGGAGAAAGACCAGATATGCATACCTGCACACATGTGCTGTTGGTCTCTTGGCATGTGATGTTACATGCTACCTCAGGACTCTGCCAGGGAAGACGGTATCACCCAAAGAAACTCCTAGATTGTTCTCTTCCAGAACCATGAGCCAACAAGGTAGCCTTCTCAGGTGTTTCATTATTATAATGGAAACTGGACTAGAGAATTCTCTGACTTCCCAAACTCAATGTTCGCTGGCCTGGCCTGTTTGAGGAAACATTTCTTTTTAAGCCAGCTGGCCTGAGGCCCCTGGTGACACACTGCCAGAGAATGGGGCTTCTCTTCCTGGTCAAGTGTGGGTCCTGCAATTAGTGGTCTAGACCTGGAACTTCCAGCTCAGTGTGTCCCTCTGGCAGCTCCCCCAGGTAATTCTGCAGCATCCCTAAGGATGGTTTCTTGGTGAGTTGGCATGTGCCTCAGCTGCCTCCCTAGCATGCCCAGCGACATCCCAGCAGGTGAGGGTTCTGTGGGTGGCTGCCTGCTCACCTGCCCCAGCCTGCAGCACCACAGTGGCCTGATTTGGCCACCTGCCCACCAAGGCCTAAGCCTCAACCTTGGGAGGGGAGGGGCTCTTCTCAACTTGTTCCTTCCTTCGCTACTCTCTCGCTGCTGTTGGTAACTATTCCCTGTCATCTCTTCCTGTAACCAGACCTCTTGCCCTTTAGAAGCTGGTCCTTTGTTACTATGATACTACACATCTGTCTTCCCCATGTGCAGATTACCCTGTGGCCACTGTTGCCTGCCTGGAACCCACCTGAAGTGTCAGCCAGTATTCCAAGGACTTTGCAAATATTAACTCATTTAATGCTTATAACAACCGTGCAATGTAGGCAGTTACTAGCCCCATCTCACCATGGAGAAACCAAGGTAATGAGATACAGGAAGTGTTCCCAAGTTTACACAACCAGCAGAGGGTGGAGCCCAGACTGGAGTCCAGGTGGCTCTGCTCTATTTTCCCAGTTTCAATTATTTTATTGAATTATTCATTATTGTAAAAGTCATTCAGATTCCAAAGTTTCCAGGAGATATCGGAACTGATCACTCATATTTTCTTTCTCTCCCAATCTGTATTTAGTGAGTAGCCAGTATGTATGAGGTGTGGGCAGAGAGTAATGATGTCATTGGCTCACTTGTTATATGATGATGGTATTAGCAGAAAGTTTATGTTCTTTTAAAAGACTAGGAATGGTTCAATCTAACTCAAACTTAAATGTCCCCGTTGAAAAAAAAAAGCATAGCTTTCTTGTTTGTTTGAAGGTTTGTTTATTCGTTTGAAAGGCAGAGTCACAGACAGAGAAAGACAGAAAGAAATCTTTTATCTGGTGGGTCTCTTCCCCAAATGGCTGCGAAGGCCAGGTCTGGACAGGACCCATGCCAGAAGTCGGAACCAGGAACCTCTTCAGATCCCACGTAAGTGCATGGTCCAAGCACTTGGGCTGTCCTTGGTGGTCTTCCCAGGTGTATTAGCAGGGAGATGGATTGGAAGCAGGGCAACCAGGACTTGAATAGGCACCAACATGAGATATTGGCATTGCAGAAGAGGCTTAACCCATATGCTATAATGCCAGGCTCAGTTCTGTTGTTTTTGTTTTTCTTTTGGCAAGAAATACTTTCATGTTTATTTGGTATAAAAGATTTTTGGTCATTGTCAAATATAATGCATCCTTTTTTTTCCTGCTAGAAATCTACATAGTGTCTCAAACACGCTTTCTTTAGTCGTCATGAGCGACAATTTCTCTTGTGAAACTAGAACTTGAGTTTAGCACCAGGAGTACTCTGGCTCTGGAAAGAAGTAAAATTCATAGATGAAAGCTTCTTCAAGTGAATCCAAAAACATGTGTGAGACCTTGGAGAGGGAAGAGTAACCAAGTGTGGGTTGCAGCCTGCCTGAGCGGGATATGTGTGTGTGTGCCACGAGGCTCGCACTCGGGGTAGCTAATACACCTCTAAAAAGTTTAGACCTGCTCCTTTGAAAATTGGAATTAGCAAACTCTCTTAGACTGTTTTGGAAAAAAGCAAAATACCTATTTAAATTTTACTTTAAATTATTAGTGAAGTAACAAGAGAAATGACTGGGAATCAGAAAATCTTTGTAATGTTTCTCACAAAATTAGAATTAAAATATTTCCATGCTTTTGGGGAAATACTAGAAGGATTTGTTAGCCAGTTGAATTACCTTGGTTCTTCTTTTTTCTTTGGCTGTTTGAAGTTTACTTAAGAAACAAGGATTGACTCTCTTTCAGTTCCTTTTTTGGAGCCTGGGGCAATCTGGAGTCTTCTCCGATCCAAGCCTGAATTTCTGCTATGGCCTCAGAAGCAGGGCTGCTTAGAAAAAGGGTGCTGTGAGAAGCATGTTACCATCTCTGGACACATGAGGGCACTCTAAACAGGCAGCGGTGGACACAGCAACCTATGACTGAGGGGCAAGGTCAGCTCTTCCTGGACAGCACTGTGGAACTCAGGCGCCTCTCCGCTCAGTCCTGGACCAGCCACTCTGTCATGACCCCCACCCCCCGAACTGGCCTAGGGAAGAACAGTGCTCTGGAGAAATGGAAACCAAGGCTTAAACTTGGGCTCTGAGTCAGAAGTCCCAAGCTGCTTACTTGGGGAAAAAAGCTTTTAGTCGGATAACTCTCCCCATGACCCTCATTTGGAATTGCTTTCATGTGAACATTCAATTAGAATCCTTTTTCTGGTGCCAGCAGAATGGAAGTGAACTTGAAAACAGACAGGCTGCATTGCTAGTTTCTCTAGCTTCCATGGTGGCTGGCTTTGCAGACTTGTTATTTAGCTGTCTGTGCCATGTGACATCCAGTCCCTGGAGGACAGGCTCTGCAGGACAGAGCTGGAGTATGGAGAGAGCATGAAGTGAAAGAAATGTACACGTGGAATGCCATTTGGAATCCAACAAGGGGATTTGGGTTTCACAGGCGGTGTCTCAGTGGAAGACCTGTGTGATCTAGTGTCGATGAGTTTTGAAGTTATTTGATCTTCATGGATGTTAAGCTGCTTTAACTGTACTAGAGAAAGGCTTAAATGGGAAAAATCCATCCTTCTGACTGTTGTGCATTAAGCAGAGATCAGAGCGCTGGTAGCTCTTGAACGGAGGTTAATACAGTTTAAAGGAGTGGCAGAATACGATCCAGACCTCTGGAATCCCACCAGTGGTTCCATCCCAATGGAGGAAAATTCATAACAGAATTTAAACAGCCTGTGCTGTTGAAATCATTGTTTCGAAAAATGGAAATTAGTAATGTTCACGTGTTTAGAATCTACAAGAAGGGCATGAAAAATATAACTGGGTCTGAACACTTTTCCGCATTCTTTTGCTTCTTGTCAGGGAGCTGGAGTGTTTCTATGTACTAAGGAATGTGTGTGAGCCTTCAGCCCTGCGAGTAACATGGGGCAAGGAGTCAAGGGTCAGAGTGGCCGGTTCCACTGTGACAGAGCCAGGGTCACCGATGACCCAGACAATCCAGACCTCCTGCCCTGTGGCCAGTACTGTTGGATTCATCTTTAAAGCTGTCACATTGCAGCTGACATTTTTCAGCGGTGAGCAAATTCTTCCTACACAAAAACTGTACAAAGTCTTCCTGTCTTAAAAGATATAAATGCAAGGTCTCCGACAGGGTAAACAGAAATTGCAGTCCTGAACGTTTATCTTTCTTATTTGAAGGGACAACTCTTCCTTCCTTCCTGGAATGTGACTTAACGTTTTGAATGCCTATTAAATCTCTGGGTACACTCAGAGACCTCAGAAAGCACTATGGACAAAGCAAACATCCTCCTGCCCTTGGCAAAAGAACAAACGGATGCTTGCCTGGCTTACAGGCTCAGCTGCTCGGCAGAAAAGGACCGGCGAACCTGAGTTGCCAGAAAAAAAAAATTGTTCATGTGGCTTGGAAAAGCAGTCTTTTTACTTGAAAAAAAATAGCCAGTGCTCTGCAGTGCATGTGTAAGTGTGGTGGTATACCCAGACAGACCTGGCCTGTGGTCAGAGAGAGGGACAACTTGGTGTCTGGGGCATTCAGAGTCTGATTTCTTCTTCCTGGGATAGGGTGGCACTTCACATAGCCAGACACTTCTGGGAAGCTGGCCATACCTAGCCCCGTGGGTAGGCTGTGTCTAATGAGTCTATGCTAATTAGCGCGCCCCATTCTCTGACTGCCCCACTAGATGATGGGTTTAGGGATAGGCCTGGAAGCCGTGGTATGTAAAGCCTTCACTAGAGAAAGACATGTGGAAGCCAGCTCGAGATTCTCTCTTCTGTACTTAGCAGGGAGAGGCTGATAAGGGTCTTAGGGATTTGGAGGGCCTTTCCCACCTCCCTGAATCTGAATATCATGTTAGCTAGCCCAAGGAAGATGGGAGGAGTTGGAGCCCTGACTGGACACAAGACATCCTTTGATGCTGGACTCTTCAGCCACTATGCCAGTGCATTTACTTTGTTGCTTAAGCTAAGCCAAGCCAAAGTTTATACCACCTATATCCAAGGTTTCTAATGCCACGTGGACTCTAGGATATGCATCCCTCATCTATCTGTATGTAATGGAATTGAAGGGGTATAGTTCTTTTTTGAATTTGTGTTCATTTGAGAAGGAGATAGAGAGATAGAAAACCCATTTGCTGTGTTGGATCTCAAAAATCTACAACAGTCAGGGCTGGGCTTGGGGCCAAAGTTTGGAGCTGAGAGCTCAATCCAGCTCTCCCATGTGCATGGCTGCAATCCAATGACTGAAGCCATCACTGCTACCTCCAAGGGGCTGCCTTAGCAGGGAGCCAGACACATGAAAAAGGGCTGGCTGTCCAACCCAGGCACTCTGCTACAGAGCGTGGGCGTCTTAACTGCCAAAGGCCCGCTTCCTGAAGGCTATTAGTTTTTCAGAAACTTGTCCTAAAAGTCACAGTATTGGATAGAGCTTTGGGCCACAATCTCTAGCCACTGAGACTTTCTTGAAAGTATGACACAGAACATTCAATAATAAGAGAAGCATCAAGAAACAAAACAAGCCAGGTGTCAAATGCAGCATATTTTAATTTGTTTCAAATAAAGCAATATATGTATATATATACTTTTTTTCAGAAAAACACCAGATGTTAAATTCTACAAAAGCGCATGTGTCTTCAGCAGATCATGTTTGTCTGATCGTCAGGAATATTGTTTTCAACGTGAACTCGCTAACAACGATCAACGGACTGACATCCTGGTACAACACGGACTGCCACCTGAGCCTCTGATCTTGAACCACACCTTGATTTTTCCTAACAAAGGAGTAAATACTGCCTGGCTAAAATGCTGCAAAGTCTCCATGAGAAAAAGCATCAACAGATCAAGCAAAGCCATGAAGGTTATGAAGCAAGCTAGAGCTGATTATTTAGAATTAGTAAAAATGAGTATGAGAGGATGACACCACCACACAGGGTCTGTATATTCCGACGGACTCTCTTTTGGCAGCGAATTGGGTCAGCACCTCGGGCAGGGAACCAAAATGGAGTGGAAACTGCTCTTTGTTCTCCGGCCTCAGGCCACCAGCGTCACGGCTGGCACGGCGAGAACCGTGGTGTCGGAGGAGACTTCTATTCTTGTGGGGCAGAGGTTGCACTGCGAAACCCTCCCGACGTTTCCCCGGAAAGGCCGGGCCTCCGAGCTGTCTGCGGGGTGCTGTCTCCGCCGTGGCTTTTCAGGATGGCCTGGGGTCTCTGGGGCCTTTGTCCCCAAGGGAGCCTCCTGGTTTTTGGCGCCGCCTTTGTTTTTGGGACGGAAGCCGGTGTGCAGCTGTCGCCGGTGTTCGTGCCTGCTGGTGCCCTTGGTCATGGAATCCACATCATTCCCGCCACTCTGGGACTTGGCAGGCCCGTTTGGCCTGTTGTTATGATATTGGGGATTAAATCTTCGTCTTTGGCTGGAAGACCCATTCTACCAAGAAAAAAAAAAAAAAGAGAGGGATTAGAGATGAGCAAGCCACAAGTGACATTCATAGATGACATCAGGGAAGCCAAAGTTCTAAGTCACAGCTTAGCAGAAAAATATGACACCACGTCAATGGGGTCAAGTGGCCAGGAACCCTTAGCTTTAATACTGGATGTCTTGTATATGAAATTGTGGGAACATTACTGATGTTGAGAGATTATAGAAAATAAGACAGTTCCAAGCTAGGCCAATAAAACACAACCAAATGAGATGTAACATGGCCTGAGCGAGGTGTCTCAATGCTGACAGCTTCTGGATCCTTCCCTATTCACTGTGTATATGGATTCTAGTTACATATATGAAGAAAAAAAGAAACATTCTGACTGATTTTTTTTTCTTCTCAAAAACAGTTTTGTGTGTATTTGAAAACAAATATTCAGAAATAGTCTCTTGGGCATGACACGATGGCTTAATTAGCTAATCCTTTTTTGCAAGTGCTGGGACTCATATGGGCACCAGTTCATGTCCCAGCTGCTCCACTTCCCATCTGGCTCCTTGGTTATGCCTGGGAGAGCAGCAGAGGATGGCTCAAAGCCTTGGGACCCTGCACTTACTTGGAGAACTGGATGAGGCTCCTGGCACCTGCCTTCGGATTGATTCAGCTCTGGCCATTGTAGCCACTTGGGGATTAAACCAGCAGATGAAAGATTTTTCTGTCTCTTTTCCTTTTTGTAAATCTGCCTTTCCAATACAAATAAATAAATAAATAAATAACTAGTCTCTTGAGCAAATACAGATGAGAAGGCTATCAGGTAGCTCTTGGAAGGATGGGGAGGTAACAGATATTTCCACAGAGGTAACTAGTTCTTTAAATTTTTTGCAGTTCTAAGCCAATGAACTGAAAAATCATTCCTTCAAGAAATCGGCAGCTAGGACACAAACAGAATTCTGCTTGTGTGTCCTGAACAAGGGAAAGAGTTCTGAGTTCTCTGAGGTCAATGCTAGCCAACTCTTCCCTGGGACTACAGCATGCCAGGCACTAAGCACCATGCCTTGAAACCTTCTCATTTGTTGTCACAGCCACCCATTAAGACAGTTGCTGTTATTTGCTCCACTTTGTAAATGAAGATAATAGTAAATTTAAGGATCTGCCCAAGATTTACAGGTGGCAAATGGTAAACCCATTCCCACTTTATGCACTGTCTCCTGCCAAGATGCATAAATAGCTTGTGACATGATTACAGAACTGTTAGAATATTAGAACTGTTAGAACTATTTGTACTTCATAAAATATTAGAACTGTTAGAACTATTTGTAATTCATAAAATGTCTGTCATTTTGTGAATTACAAATAGATAATGTTCTTAATTTGTACTGACTTTAGAGTAGATCAGCCTGTATTAACTCAGGGCCAAGGGCAAGAGTCCAAACTCATATCATAATCTGAATCTTGTCTCTTCCTACCTCTGGCTGCATCCCACATTGCAAGGGGCCTTAGTCCTCATGAATGTGGACACTTTGGTCCCCACACCTAAGCTTTACTCCCACCAACAGTCACAACTTGGACTTGTCAATGTGTAAACTGGAGATGTGGTCTCCCCTCCAGATGGCGTATCCAGGGAAGTAGCACAGACAGACCCTGAGAGCAGCTGTGGAGCTACCTGAACACGGAATTCCCGGATCTTGAGTGCCCCGAGCATGTTACAAAAGGGAAGGGACAGATAGTGGGTGGCCACATCCCCTTGGTTTCACCACCATTTTGGAGGGAGGGCTGGGGAAGCCCAGGAGGGATTACTGTAAAGTGCAGTGCCTGGGTCTGTGATGTCTGGAAGCAAGTGCATGTCCACTTACATGAGCTGTGTCTTTAAATGCTAAAAAAAAATGGTGAGCTGAGAAAGCATTTACAGAGATGCCAGGTAATTTGGACTCTTTTTGAAGATTTATTTTATGTATTTGAAAGGCAGAGTTACAGACACAGAGAGAAATAGAAAAGTCATCTATCCACTAGTTCACTTCCCCAATGACAGCCGTGGCTGGAGTTGGACCAGTCCAAAGTTGGAAGCCAGGGATTTCTTTCAGGTCTCCTGTGTGGGTGCGGGAGCCAGAGCACTTGGCCATCCTCTACTGCATTCTGGGTCATTAACAGGCAGCTGGATCAGAAGCGGTGCATCCCACATGTGGGATACCATGCTTGGAGGTGGAGGGTTAACCAGTTGAGCCAACAAAGAAAGAGATTCCAGAGCTCTCTTGGAAAGCTTTAAAGGTATCTTTACAACAAGCCCATCTGCTCTATCAGCCAACAGCATTTCTTGTCATTCTAACATGAAGGCGGAAGTCACCTCTTAAAGGTGCAGGGTCAAATCAGCAGGAGAGCAGCAAGATGGCCTCTGGGAACCTTGCCTTTCCACATCACAGTGGATAAGAATGGATTCTGCCACTGTGAAATGTGTTCTTTCTATTGATATTCCACGAGAAGAAAAAGCTACACTAACTTTTGCCTCCTCTTGTTAGGATATTTTTTTTAGAAAATTATACCCTAGTTGTTTATTTCCCAAGAAGGCAAAAGTGACAGAGAGAGAGGGAGAGACAGAGAGAGTGTCCACTTGCTCAGCTCTTCTCATGGCTGCAAATACTGAGGCCAGGGATTCCATCTGGGTCTTTCATATGCAGGACTTGAAACCAGTACTCCAAGGTGGATGCTGGTGCTACAGGTAGCAGCTTAATATGATGTGCCACAATTTTAGCTTCTGGCTTGATTATCAAAGCATAAGTGAGGTGGGCTGGTGTAGTGGTTCAACAGGCTAATCCTCCACCCTGTGGTACCAGCATCCCATATGGGTGCCAATTTGTGTTCTGGCTGCTCTACTTCCAATACAGTTTTCTGCTTATGACTTGGGAAAGCAATGGGCCTCTGCACCCACATGGGAGACTGTGAAGAAGCTCATGACTTCAGATCAGCTCAACTGTAGCTATTGTGACAATCTGGGGAGTGAGCCAGCGGATGGAAGACGTTTCTCTCCTTCTCTGTAAAACTGCCATTCAAATAAAAATTTTAAAAAATCTTTATAAACTGTCTTTCAAATAAAAAGAATTTTAGAAATATTTACTTAGTTTTTAAATTGGAAAGTCAAGATTTATAGAGAGAAGGAGAGACAGAGATAAATATCTTCTCTCTGCTGGTTTACTCCCCAAGTGGCCACAATGGTTGGAGCTGAGCTGATCTGAAGCCAGGAGCCAGGGGGCTTCTTCCAGGTCTCCCCCATGGGTGCAGACACTGAAGGCTTTAGGGCAGCCTCTGCTGCTCTCCTATGCCACAAGCAGGGAGCTGGATGGGTAATAGGGAAGCAGCGATATGAACTGGTGCCCATATGGGATCCCTGTGCATGCAGGGGAAGGATGTTAGCCAATAGGCTACTGTGCTGGGCCCAAATAAAGTTTTTTTTAAAAAAGTGAGAATTAAGCGACCCTAAAAATCAAATGCTAGGTTTCATTTCACCAACGATCTTGGTGGCAGGTCCTGAGTGTTCCCCCTGTGTCCATGTGGGTATCTTTCCCCATGTGGGCTGACAATGGGGTGTCAGTGATGGTTGCACCTGAGGACAGGACAAGGGCCGCCACCTTTAGGAGAACCTACTAATGCTGTCAAGAGGGCGTGCTCTGCATAGCAAGTGCCCATGGGGCTGGGATGGAGGGAACCCCAGAAGGCTCAGTTCAGTGAACAGCAGCTGTCAGATCCCAGGATGGCTTACCTGCTTGTTAGCTGGTGCGGGCTGGTGAGAGGGCTCGGCCGTGCTGGGGAGACTGCTAGCCATTTTTGGGTTTGCTGCTTTGCCCTCGGAGGGCTTGTTGTGATTGGACGATTTTCGGGGAAAGTTGCTCTGTTTTCCAGAGGACACTGGGTGTGCATTCAGCAGAGGCAGCAGGGAGGCGCAGGGGGTCCTTGAGGAGTAGTTATTCTTTGGGTGGGTAACTGCAACAACAAAGGGTGTTGTTGTCAGGGACAGCTGCAGCCAGGAGAGGGACGAGCTGCTGGGAGTTCTTTAGGAACATTTAGAAAGGTATTTAAGACAAAGTGAAGGCACCCCTTCTGTTAGAGACCGCCACATCTCTCCTGTGCCAATCACTGACCTGTGGGTGCGGCGTCATCCTCCAGCTTGGGAGACCTTTCTGAGATGTAAGGCATAAACCGACCAACTTGGACATAATTCTTGGTTAAGAGCCACCAAGGGAAAACAGAGTGAAACCCTTAGGTTTTTATCTTTTGTGTGTTGTCCTCCAACACTCTGTTGTAGATGACCAAGTCCATTCTTGCTGCCCTTGTCACAGCATAGATGGGGTGGCAGAGCTGGGCAAGGCAATGTGTTGTGAAGGCAGGGATGGCAGACGCCAGGTATTGGAAGCTGTGCCCTTCGATGGCAGGTCTGCCCTCCAGCATGCAGCCTGCTCTGCTGGCACCTAACACATGTGTTCTGTCTCCTGAGAGCTGCTTTACCAAGCTGTTTATCAGCCATTTTCAGAAGCTCCTGTGCAGACTTGCACCACTTCCCATGCTCCAGGGAAGACAGGCTGATGGCGCAGCACCCCGCCAGGGCTCAGGGCTCTGGCAGGTCTGTCCAACCTGTATTCTTTCCGTTCCTGCTGGGATTAAAAGTGGTGGTTCCTGACAGGATGATTTCTGTGTGATTATGCTTTGTCGGGGCCAGAGGGAATCAACTCAAGGATAAAGCCGTGACTGTCTCCCTCGGAGCTCACTAGAATTTGACTGTCAGGCTGGACAGCAAGACCTTTCTTTGAATCTTAAAATTGTCACCAATTTTTAAAAGCAATTTTCTCTGCTGCCTTTGTTGGATCAGACTTAATCCCAGGGTTATGCTAGAGGATTAGAGGTGATGAGCAGGGCTCACAGAATGTTGGAAATGGAAAGGACAGGGCATATCTCCAGCCCCATCATCTTATCTGGCAGGTGCAACAAGGACCTGGGGCAGGTTGGGGTGAGTGCTGTCCAAACACGACTGGGGGACTGCAGTGGCTCTTCTGCTCATCAGCTGCGGTTTCTTGGGGTCATTATTTCCTGCAGCTCAAGGACCACTATTTCCGGTTCAGCAGCTGTGGGCTTTCAACAAAGTCAAAAAGAAAAGGTCTTTGTGAGGATTCTCCTTTTCTGACACATGAGGCTGGGCTTCATGGGGGCACCTGCATTTGCTGAGGGATGCTTCTCCCGTTAGGCCACACCTACAGCGCTCCAGGGGGCCTTCCCACCCCACAGAGCCCCCATTCAGCTGCAGAGTCCTGCTGGGGAAGATGAGGGTGGGCAGTGACTTTCCTGGCTATAAATCCGACTGTTTGCCTTTGTTGAAATGAGGCGGGGTGGGGGGGCGGGGCTGGGAGTGGAAAAAGGGGAATAGGCGGATCCTTTCAAGAGAAAAGAGGCTCCTGGGGTTGCTGGGGGGCGGGGGAGAAATAAAGTAAAAGACAACGCAGTCAGGGAAATCAGACAGCCACCAGAGATACATGAGCAAGCAGGCTCACAGCGCCATAATTTTAATGGTCAAAAACTGGATTAGAGGACTCGTGACATTGCTCATGGTTGAATAAACAATCAGTAATAAGCAATACTAATACACAGATAATAAATGAGAAACGATTGTTCGTCCTTCCTCCGTCAAAGCCCCTGGAGAGCACCCCTTGTAGGTGGGCTAGAGTAGAGGAAGAGAGTGAGAGCCAATTTGGTTGGCCATTAGCTGCTCTAATTAAGGATTAATCGGGAACACGGCTAACGTGAATGGTGAGAGCGAAGTCTTTTATTATCTGCAGACTTGCCTCAACTCAGAGGCCCCAGGGCTGCAGCTGAGGGCTCTGCTGCTCAGCTCTGCCGCAGAGCCGGCTAGTTGTTCCTGGCCTTACGAGGGTCTCCGTAGGAGCTGGGCTCTCGGAAGTGAGGGAAGTAGCCTGGCAGTGCATGGGAGGAGTGTGCAGGAGGGATGAGCCAGCTCCCTGCTCTGCTTCACTGAGGAAATCCTGGGGATTTGCTGGTGGGCAGTGGCATTTGAGAAGTCTTAAGTTCAAATCCTGACATTTCTGTTGACCTGCATCATGACATCTCTAGATCTCCCTCTAGACCCCACCAGGGGCCTGCACACCTGACATCTGCCACATCCGCTCCAAGCAGCACCGCACTCACGCACACGGAATCAGTGAAACTCACTTTCTCCGCAAAGCATGATTTGGGCCTTCAGCTGTTCGATGTCACAGGAGAACCGGGCAGCTTTCCCCAGCTCTTCATCGTATTTACGCTCGCTGACAAAGTGCTGTAGGAGACAGAAGTGAAGGAGGACGCCTGTAATACGGCAAAGACCCAGAGCTCCACAGGTTCATTCTCCCTGCCCTCCCAGGGCCCACGGATGGTGCTGATGGTGGGGACGGGTCTAGTTAGTCCCTGTTCTGTTCCACTGGATCATGATAACCTTCACGTTCTTGGAATATGAGACAGCCCGGTCTCCCAGTCTTCCTAAGTCTGGGCTTAGGAAGAAATTCTGACCTATGCAAAACGTATACCTGGACTCACCAATTATTGAACCTTTCAGTGTCTTACCCCTAGAAGAATTTTCTGGGTTGCAGTGTGACCAATTAGGTTCTTTCTAGTTTGACCGAGGGCCTGCAAGGGTATTAACCACAAGAGGAACATGTTTTCCTTCCTAAATACTCAGCTCTGTGTTTTATTTGAAAGAGTAAGCTTCCATCTGCTTGATTTACTCTGCAAATGCCTGCAAGGATTGGGCTGGGGCCTGGAACTCCATTTGGACTTCTGGCTCAGCTGGCAGAAACCCAACTACTACTTGTGCTGCTTCCCAGGGTGCACTTTAGCAGGAAGCAGGATACTAGAAGGAGGAGCCCAGCCTGGACTTTTATGGGATGTGGGCCTCCCAGTCTGCATCTTAATTGCTAGACCAAACACTCATACCCCACCCCCTCTATTTTAATAGGGAACTAGGAAGTCCAAAAAGCCATTAGTATCTAAGAAACATTATCTTCAATGATGGAATTTCAAGCGCTCTTAAAGGAAGTGGTGAAGAGATTATTTTTCAATTCATTTAAAATTCAATTTAAAGTTAAGATCTGTGTGTGATGACAGAGTGAGAAATGCAGAAATAGCTATGACTCAGGGCCTCCTCGAGTTTACCAGGGAGTTTGTCACATGGTAAGGAAACCAGATACCATTAAATACAATACAAGGTAGAGTGTGGCTGATGTGTTTGGAATCACAGAAAGGGAATAAATAATTCTCTGTTGAGGGAAATAAAGTAAGAGTTATGCAAGAGGGAACATGCGAGCTAAAAAAAAAACAAATTCTTCACAGATAATCTTATTTCATCTAGTTGCATTATTTTGAAATCAGTACTATTATGACCATGTTTTACAGATGGGGGAACTGAGGGTCCAAGAACCTAAGACAATGTGTATACTCAAGGCCAGAGAACTAGAACATTTTGGAACTGGACTGTTTGCATCTTAAAGCTTGTGCTACTGACCAGATTTTGATGGGCAGAAATGAAACTTGGAAGATGAGTTGCTTTAACAGACCAGGAAGCTAGCAATTTTTAATCTTTCACTCTAAGCAGCTGAGATTGTTGTAGAAAGAGATGGCTGATTTGACGTACACTGGAGGGGAGAGTGCTTGGCGTAGTGGCTAAGTGGCTTCCTATGAATGCCAACATCCTGGGTTCAAGTCTGGGCTCTGCTCCGGATTCAGGGGTCCTGCTAATGGACCCCCTGGGAGGGAGCAGCCGTTGCTCTAGTACACAGGTCCCTGCTGGTCATGTGGGAGATATGGAGATCTTGGCAATCTGGCCCATGTTGTAGCATTTGGGGACTAAACCAGTGCATGAGAATTCTCTGTCTCTCTCACTTTTTGTCTTTCTTTCAAATAAATAAAATAAACCCAGAAAAAACACCTCTAGAGCATTTTGTACCCACAGAGGAGCCCTCTGCACATGGGTTCCCTTCTGTGCTTAGCTGGGGTGAAGGAGACCAGAAATTCACTTGCCACTTTGTATCGTATTCAACCAGTTCTATATTTTGATGAGCAGTAAGCTTTATTTGTAAAGCTCGCAGCAGCTGTGTCTTGAAACCAGTTTCCTGGAAGTGGGTGGAGTGAGCATGTGCATGTTTGTGTCTCTGTGTGTGTGAGAGAGAAAGAGGAGGATAAGGGGAATTTGTAAACTTCACAAGTGTGATCATTTGCTCTTGTCCTGGTAACCACTTCCCCTTCTGGTAACTGCCCTGGTGCAGCTTCTAAGATCCACAGTTCCTGGTGAGTTTGACACGTACAGTCTCTTCTGGCCAAATGACGGATGTGATCTAAGTGGAGGCCAGTCAGAGCCTTTCTGTTAGGGACTAGAATCAAGTAGAGGAGTGTAAGGGCTGACGACCCCTTGAGACTACTCAGGGACAGTGTAATTCCTCCTGCTAGTTGTAGACTCGTCTTCAGGCCATCCTGCTTTGAGGAGCTACATTCACTTCCAAATTTTTGTTTTCGGGGATTTTCCAGGGTCAGTTTCTATTGCTTGCAATGGAAGAAATCTAATAAGTACACATTTGCAGGTAGTATTCTTAGTAAAAAGGCACCTGTGCCTCAAACAAGGGCAGGAAAGAAGCCAACACAGACTGCCACTTTATAATCCTCATTGGTATATTGTCCCTATTACATATGTGCGTGTGTGTGTGTTTATACACATAAATTACATAGTGTGAAAATCATATCCCTCAACCCAGCAATAATTCATAGTTGGACACTTTATTTGGGTAAGTCTCTATTGGCTAAGAAGACAGTTTGTATCTTTTCTTTGTAAAATATATCCCTTCTCACCATATTATACTTAAATATAGCAATAGGTGGTACTTCACCCTTTTGGACTCACTTTCCAACCCTGTGAAAGAGAGGTGGGTGCAGGACAGGAGGGCCTCAGAGAGCAGTGCCCTGGTGCTGCCCAACGGCCATCCCAGGGATTTAAGCCCTGGTTTTGGCTTCGGGCTGTGATGTTTCAGAACTGACCTTAATTTCTGCCCTGAGTTCGGCCAGCTGCATCTCTGCCATCTGACTGGCTAGATCAGCAAGTCTCTTTAGTTCTTCTGCTTTCTTCTGACGAGCAGTCAGGATTTCCACTGCCAAATAAGAAGGAATAAGATGTAAAGGCTAGAGATTGAAAACTGTAAATTGGCCTAATTTCTTGGCATCAAACCTTACCCCACAGAGCAATTGTTTTGTTGTACCTTGACTGAGGTAGTCAGCAGAGTGGGCTCACCCTTAGTATCCAGCACCAATGACCCATTTCCTACTGTCTTTATCCAGAAATCCCTAAACCAACAGAGTCCCTTCTGATCCATTGCATACTGACATGCTGCTTTGCTTCTTAATATTTACCTCTGGCATCTGATCCCACTTGGGCTCTTCAACTTGTGAGCTACTCAGAATAGTTCTCTTTGAAAAAAAAAAAAGGTACAACAAATCCCACCTGAATGACACTGCAAAGACAAGTTGTCCATTTAGTACACCCATGCTTCTGTTACATGCACAGGACTACTACATTCTAATGGCATTAGGCCTTTTGAAGTGTAACATGTGCTTTTCTGGGGCAGATGGCTGTGTTATTGGAGTTGGACATATAAGTATTTATCAGGTTTTTTTTTCCTGAGCTGTAATGTGCTTCTGCAGATTTGTCTGCAGTTTGCAGACAGACAGAAGTTTCAGAACTGAGTATCTTATGTCTCTGTTGTAGGAGTCCTCAGTGGATAAATGTCAATGGTGAGCCAAGCCAGTTTGCATTGGGTTTGCATGTGCCCTTTAACATCTGTAAATGTGGAGGAGTCACCGGGAAGTTCTTTGGCACCACTTTTTCACACAACTGTCTGCTGAATTAAAGATTCAAACAGATGTAGTTTAACTTGTGTGTCTGAGTTTCCGCAAAAGCTTACAGAGCTCAGAAGCAGTGAGAACAAACACCCAGAGCAGGACTTAAGTCTGACTTTTTTGGGCCCGGCACAGTATCCTAGTGGTTAAAGTCCTCACCTTGCATGTGCTGGGAACCCATATGGGTGCCGGTTCTAGTTCTGGCCACTCCACTTCCCTTCCAGCTCCCTGCTTGTGGCCTGGGAAAGCAGTCGAGGATGGCCCAAAACCTTGGAACCCTGCACCTATGTGGGGAGCCTGGAGGAAGCTCCTGGATCTTGGCTTTGGATCGGTGCAGCTCTGGCCATTGTGGCCACATGGGGAATGAATCAACGGAGAGAAGATCTTTCTCTCTGTCTCTCCTTTCGGTATTTCTGACTTTCCAATAAAAATAAATAAATCTTTTTTTAAAAAAAAGACTTAAATCTGACTTTTCAGCTGATAGACTTGTAGAGGTCTGATTCAAGTCACATGTGAACTGTCTCTGAAGAGGTATTTCGAGGCTTAAGAGGAACTCATCTAAGATGAAATGCAAACTGACTCCATGTTTTCCATTTTTGGCTTTTGAACACAAATCAGCTGGTTCATTTGGCCAGAACAATATAATTTATGATTTCAAGAGCTCTTAACAGATAACATTAAAAAAGTCATTTCAAAAGCCCCCAAAGCAGCACATAATCAACTAAGAATTAAAAATTTCTTCAAGCCATAATCCACTCTTCAGACAGACCAAGGTTTTATCTTTTTATGTTGATGGCAAGAAAATGATTGATATCAGCACAGGAGTTAGTGAAACGCACGCTGCTGCTGAGGGGAGCAAAAGGAACGGTCATCTACATGTCGACTACATTAAGAAAGGACATCTCAGGTCACCCATTCGGAACAGGTCACTAAAGAGACCCATTATTTGGTTAGTTGTGTGTTCTACACAGTACTTTCATGTAATAATTGCCCACAATTAAAACTTTAATGCTTTGCTTTCATCTGAAAGCTAGATTTCTGGTGTCTCTTAAAGCAATGGAATTTCTGGGGCTGGCACAATGGCTCAGTCCACGAATCCTCTGCCTACAAACACTGGCATCCCATATGGGTGCTGCTTCATGGCCTGGGCTACTCTACTTTCGATATAGCTCCCTGCTTGTGGCCTGGGAAAACAGCTGAGGACAGCCCAGAGCCTTGGGACCCTGCCCCTGTGTGGGAGACTTGAAAGAAGCTCCTGGCCTCTGCCTTTGGATCGTCTGAGTTTCAGCTGTTGCGGCTATTTGGGGAGTGAAACAGCAGATGGAAGATCTTTATCTTTATTTCCCCTTCTCTTTGTAAATCCATCCTTCCATTAAGATAAATTAATCTTAAAAAAAAAAATGGAATTTCTGGCTAAAGTTGGCCAGCATTTCTACATGGGAGTAACTGAGTAAAACTTAGGAGCCACTGCTCTTTTGAATGATCGTAGTTGACCACTGTGCCGTGGTCTTCACCTACTGCTTAGCACAGTAATGTTATCTGCTGGGCTCCCTAAGTATCTCTGATCACTTGCGCAGTTACAGTACACACTGAATTTTGCAGCTTTTTGAGGCCATGCACCTACTGCCTAGTACACAGGAGGTGCCCCATATGCTTGCTGAGTAAAGGATTCAGTGGATGAATAAATCAGCCACTTAAAAGGATTATCTAAAGGGGTTGGTGCCATGGCATAGTAGGTTAAGCTTCCACCTTTGCCACTGGCATCCTATGGGGATGCCCATTTGAGTCCTGGTCACACTGTTTCTGATCCAGCTTCCTGCTTATGGCCTGGGAAAGCAGTGAAGAATGGCTTGAGTCCTTGGGCCCCTGCACCCACAAGGGAGACCTGAAAGAAGCTCCTAGCTCCCAACTTTGGACAAGCTGAGTTTCGGCTGTTGGGGCCGCATAGGGAGTGAACGCAGATGAAAGCTTTCTTTCTCCTTTTCTAAAACTGTGACATTGTCTTTCAGATAAAAATAAAATAATTTTTTTTAAAAGAAGTAATATCTAAGGATGAACAGAAGTTCTTTGTCTACAGTGATCAGTGAAGACTGTTTAGTACTCTTTTTTGATTGGTTATTTGTCATTATGGTTCAACCTGAGAATGGGTCTAAAGTCTGCAGAAGAGAAAATAATTCTTGAGTAAGAAGTTGGAGTAAGGTGTTTTACCTTCTCAATTAAGAGAAAATTAGCTCTGAACAAGGCCAGATTTGACAAAGCAGTTAGGAGAGGGTTCTGTGACTGCACAGTTAACACAGATTTGATTTTTCTTATTGGGTTATTTGTGGGACGGGTGACAATTTGGGGTCACCATTCATTTTGATTAAGCATTCATACCAAACAAAAAGATTTTGTAAAAGTAGATAATAAATGGGCTCTAAAATAAGAATGCAGGTGGCTAGATCACTAATACATTCTGGGTTTACATTCACGGAAACGTGCATGGCCATCAACACTGCATCAGCAAGTTTTTGATGCATTTTACATACAGTCTCATTAACATTTCAAAGCCTTCCATCATCATTATGAAAAAGCCCGAAACTTAAAAAAAATCTCAAGCCAATATTTTCTGGAGGTGAACATTTTCACCTCAGAAACATCAATCTCAGAAGCAGAAAGCAGAAATGAACCAGGTGACACCTAGGACTCACTGATGCTCTCATTGAAAATAGAAAACTCAATATATGTGGAAGGCACCATCGTTTTAGGTATTTGCTGAGGGATACAGTCTCACACAGCTTAGGTTTCACTCTATTTAGGACTTAATATTATCCGTCCACATTTATAAGCAGCCTGTGGTTTGCTTGAATTCATTTTCTCAAGATATATTACAAGTTTTAGACGACACTGGAAACTTGCTTCTATTACCTAAACCATAGAAAACTCTTACGTAGGAGGGTATTTAAAAAAATTCATGGAAGTTGAAATTAAAAGATTAAGTTCATTTGGGTGCAAAAAGTTTAAACATACATGTGTGGTCTTGTCATTCTCCATGAATTCTTTGAGAACTCCTCATATGCATAGATTTCAATTTTTTTTTTGCACCAAAATTAAATTATCTTTTTTTTTCCCACTTAGAGATTTACTTATTTATTTGAAAAGCAGAATGACATAGAGAAAGGAAGAAGGATTTGGAGATGGTGAGGGTGAGAGAGACACCCTCTATTCACTGAATCATTTCTCAAATGGCTTAACAGATAGGTCCAGGCCAGGCTGAAGCCAGGAGCTGGGAACTCCACCTGGGTCTTCCACGTGGATGGCTGTGGCCCAGTTAACTGGGCTATCTTCTGTGCCCTTGTGTACATCACAAATGTTGGTTTAACTTTCTGTGTCATGATGCCAGCACTTAAATGTAGCCTTTTCCACAAACTTCTTGAAATTTGGGTGCAAAAGATGTACTCAAAATCAAAGGGCGTGGGATGGGTCAGGAGCTAGAGCCCAAGTGTCTTTTTAAGCACAAAAATTCTTTGAAATCCTTTATTCGTTGTGAATTTTGTACCCTACTTAGCTCTGTGCTTCCACTATTGGTAAACATGGCAAACTAAGAACATGTCCATCAGCTCCCTGGATTTACAGATGAAGCGGGAGGCCCTAGCCAGTATTACAACATGCTTAGTTTCTCCGTCTGGAAAATGTAGTAGGGCTTTTGAGAGCTAAGTAGAATGGCACCTGTGAGTTGTTTTACAGTACACTCAAATACGCTATTGGTGAGGGGAGAAGCATTCATCAAGCATACACTTCCATTTCACTAGTGTTCACCTTTACTGGATTTCACTCTCTATGGATACTGAATTGATGACAAATGAGCTTTTGAACAAATGCTTAGGAAGTACTTACAGCTTTCTCAGCATTGTGTGAGGTGCCATGAGGAATACAGGTGTTTATGTTGTAATTATGAAGCCTGGTTTATACAATGTATAGGGAATGGAAAATAGGAAAAACACTCGTGATATCACAGAGAAGTGAGTTCAAGATAGCCATTGTAGAGATAGTTCTATGCTTAGTGGGGAGACATTCCAGGCTTGTAATGACAGGGATGATGTCCAACTGATACAAGCATGTCATCTGAGAGATGAAGCTCAACCCTTCTCACCTCTATTTCCTGATTTTGTATGAAGAGAGAATGGACTAACAAGAACTTTGAATTTTTTATGCATGTATCATGTCAGACATTGTGCTAAATGCCCGACATTTATTCTCCTTTTTTCTTTTCAATAACTATTTGAGATACCCACTACTATTAACCACTCTTTTCTGAGATAGAATCTCCGGCTTTGAGAAGTACACAAAATGGCTTTAGGTCACAAAGCCAGTGAGCGGATGGAAGCTGGATATGCCACTCAGTCCTGGGTGCTTCCAAGGCAGACAGGCAGGCAGGCAGGCAAAGCGGCTGTCCTGGGGTCCCAGGCTGTACCAAAGCCAGGGCCTGCAGCATCACTTACCAAAGCACAACAAACCCAGGCAACCCATCTAGAAGATCTGGCTAGCTCCAAAGCATGCTGAGTGCAGGCTTCATGATTCATTTATCTGTGTGCTAGTTAATCCGGTCTCTAACAGTACTTGGTGTATAAATGCTAATTGATTGAATTTTAGAAGTAGGAATGATCTCCAGAGAAACTACAAATTCCACAGGTTTTGAAACTTAAGGTATTATCCCAAGAAGAAATAATGTGTATAAGAAATCAGAGAATTTGTGTGACCTTATGAGAAACTGATGTGCTAGGGACTTTCGGTGTGGATTCTAAGGCATCAGTAAGGTCTGAGCTGATGGTCAGCATTTTTATTATTATAATAAGAAACTGAAATGAGACTTATCTATGACAAACAGGGAAAAATCCCAACAGGAGTGTAGTCTACTTTAATGAATAAATCAACAAATAACACTAAGAATAAAATTATTTCACAATAAAAGGCACTACTAAAATATCTCGATTCACTCTGGATCACATTAGTTTCATTTAATAAAATTTGCTGTATTTCAGATTCTAAAATGATGTTTAAAATTATTTAGAATTGTGTAACAAGAGCAAGGACAGTTTCCATTCAACAACGATTGAATTGTGACCAACGTCTAGACAAGAATAAAAAAAGAAGGGAACATCTGGTCTGATCTTTCATCCTCGCAGAAATAAAGACATTGTAGTCTATACATGACAAAAAGGATGTAGTTAGAACTAGGCTGGAACCACTGACTGCCATTTACCCAACTCATGAGTTCAAATTTAGGTAAGGACGAAGAAAATAAAAATTGTAAAACTCAATTCCAGATAAAAAAAAATATGGTCTTTGGGATTACATTAACATAAGGAATTGAGTTTAACAATATGAGAGGGCTTCTAATGCTTGCTTGTGGCTGGATGTTAAATCTGAGTAATTTAGTTTTCTCTGATATTTCCAATCCATGAATCTCCACCCATTTAAAATGGCAAATCTATTCTACTATTAACTGAGCAGTTTTCCCTCAGTGAAAAGAGTACAAAGACTAGAAAAAAATTTAAACCTTGAATATTAATATTGTGTTACATATAGGAAAAGTTTTGCAATGACCAAGATGACTTAAGTGTACTTACTTTTTAGAGAACTTTGTGCATTTCGCAGTCTAACTTGTGATTTCAATTTAAAACATGAAATTGATTTCTCTAATGGTTTAAGATGGCAAATATAAGTATATTGGACCAAGTTTGTAGCAGAATCAGTGTGTTTCAAGAAAACTTCATTTAGTACATCTTTAAGTTTCAATTATTAATCTTATTTGAGTTTCTTAAAAGCTTAGGAATACTTTGCTTTTTAGGTATGTCAGCTTGCCCTATCAGGCATCTGAAGTACTTGAATCAGATACATAAAGTTCATTCATGTAATTCAGTATGTTGAAGGAAATTTTAATAGCTAAGCTTCAAATGGAGCTGATATTTTAAGAGAAACAGACAAACTTGAGTTAATTAAAGCTTAAAAAGAATAACTGGAAATGACTGTAAGTAAGACAGCAAAATTTACGAAAGAATTTCAACAAGTTTTTGGGGAACAGCGGAATTAGATGATAAGTTTAGGGGGGTATTTGGTGGAGTGGTTAAGATGCCACTTGCGGCACTTGCACCTTACACTGAAGTGCATAATTCAAGTCCCGGCTCTTCGGCTCTGATGCAGCTTCCTGCTAATGCATGCTAGGAAGGCAGCAGGTCATGGCTCAAGTACTGGGACCACTCAGATTGAGTTCTGGGCTCTGGGATTTTCCCAGACCCCTTCCTCTCTCTGTTTCCAAAATGAAGTGAAAACAAACAAAAACATTTTAAATATTCATCTTGGTGCAAACTTTTTTTGAAGTTTACATACAGTTTTTTGTAATACACATTTCTATGAGTGTTTTGAGGATCCCTTAGGTAAGATATGAAGGCTTAAAAACTCATGTCTTAAAATTTAACACTGAATTCAATATCATAACTACGACTAAAGCTCTTCACATGCACAAAAGTTGCCTTGGAGATGAACCTATCCAACTGACACCTGTCATTTACTGGAAGCTTATTCTGCTATGCCCTCAACTCTAATGTGAGTGTTATGACATTGCCCTCTGCCAGATGACATAGTAGGGGTTTCCAGGGAGTAAGTGACTTGCCTAAAGTTACAAAGTTCATGCAACTCTTCAGTGTAAATTTTCAGGCCCTCTTAAGAATCCGGTATCAGTATTAGTTTGCCCATTTTGTTGCTTCTGTTTAGAAGGCTTATAATCTAATAACCATATGTTTACTTACTGGCTTCTTCTTTAACTTTATCCATCTCTGCCATTAGTGACACTTCTTTATCAATGATGCTAGTGGGAGAAAAAACAAAACCAAAGAATGCTTAATCAGATAAACACTGGAAATAGGCATTATTTTAATTAAAAAAATACAAAATTAACACAAACATTTCTATATTCTAATGGCAGCAGCACACTGTATCTTTCTTAAACCAAAGCAACATGGGAGGGCTGCTGCTTAGACTTACACAGTGATATCTGCTGAGTAAATCGTTTGCCGACAACAACTAAAAAAGAGGTCTTTACACTTTCAGACCAGTACTGCTTTGAATTTAAATTAGAGCCTATTTTTGACCTATTCAATCTGAAGTTCCAAAGCAATATCATGAGCATTCAAAAGGCTGACACTTAGTTTATCAGGGACAGAGGTCCCCAACCATCTTTGCTCCTCTCGCAGCCTTTGACTGGGAGAGATGAGTAGGGCCTGATTCTGGTGCAGATGGTCCTGGGACCATCCTGTTCTGAGAAATATGGCGTGGGTCAGCCCATCTGTCTGCTGTATAGTATGGGGTTGTCTCACTTGGCCTCTCAAATAAGCATTTAGAGGGCATAATGACCTTTCCCTCATCATATTTCATTTATTTGGGAGGTTAGTGTTTTGAAAAAGGTACTGCCTGCACAATAATTATCTGTCCAAAGGTGTATTTCTCTTCCATCATGAACCCTAATCACCTAACTCCCCTCCCAGAAGCAACATACCATTGTCAATTCTTTATCTATCCTCTCTACACAAGCACAACAGGTATCAGACGCTTATTTTATTTTCATCACAAATAATTCAATACTTACTCCTATTTATACAATGTAAGAGCTTTGAAGGTCCATAATCATTTTAAAATTATATCTAAAATATTGACAATAGTTTAGTGTTATCATCATAAATGTTAACAGTTTGTTTAAACCAGGAGCCAAACAAGATCTGTTCATTGCAATCGTTTTGTAGTCTCTTAAATCTGTGTTAAGCTGTGGACTCCAACTCATCTGTTTCCTATTCTCTTTTGTAACTTATTTGAAGGAAGCAGGTTGGTTGTTCTGAAAACTTGTCTAAGACCTGGATTTTCTTAGTTATATCTCTATTGTATCACTTCATTCATTCTTTTTGTATTTCCTACAAATTTATTACTAGATACGGGAGTTCTATTTTTTTTTCAGAAAGAATAATTTAGGTGTGGTGTATTCTATGTGTACTGAAGGAAATATACAATATAAAGAATTTCTTCTGAAAAAGTTAAATCAGAGACTCACCAACACAATATTTAATACATTTATGGGAAATATAAGGGACCTCTCTGTTTTTATGGTATTAACCATTGACAATCACGGCCTACATCAACAGAGTTTGAAAAGTGGGGATATTTAAGCTACATCATTTCATTTTTATGCTGAAATACTTCCAGAAAGAGAAACCCTTCTTTACTGTTTGATTATTATGAAGTAAGTTTGCATAGGAAAAGATAGATAAATGCTTAATTCTCCTATTTATCAGTTTTCACAGTGGTAGTAGGTTCCTCAGTATTGTCTACACATAATGAATGAGACATTCATGTTTGTTGGTACTGATTAATAATCATCTATTGAATGTGTTTTGATACATCACAGGTCTCCTTATTATTGCTTAGATGGTCCCATGAGATGCTCTTTAAATGACTTTTAAAATGTATTTCATATTGAGAATTTTTTCTAGGAAAAAAGTGGTTGCTAGGATAAACTGATAGCATTGCTGGGGTTCCTCTACTAGATGATATAACCTAAACACTTGGGCAGTAAGAAGTGTGCACAAAATGCAACCCTTTCCAAGCAGGAAATCCTAGTGGCAAGAACTATTGTGTACTGTGAATGACAAATTCTCCAGAACTGGGCTCAGAGCCTAGTCCATCAAGTGCACACAACGTCAGCTATCCCCATGACGCATGTTGCTTAAGGTCACGGAATACGATCATTGCGATATAACCAGCATATCAGAGCACCTGTGCTTTACTTATTGACATTACATAACTATGATGTCAATGAGTTTTAAGTATATACTGAAGGGTGTGCAGTAAGAAGGAAGTCTTTATTCCAAACGTGCTTCCTTGAAGGAAGGTCTCCAATGATACAAGTTTATTGAATTTCTTTCCAGATCTTTCTCCAGATCTCTCTCTCTCTCTCTCTCTCTCTCTCTCTCTCTCTCTCTCTCTCTCACACACACACACACACACACACACGTATGCATTTGGTAATTGTATGGAATCTTTCCTGAGTCCACAGGCTTTGTACGTTAATGAGTACAAGGTGTATTTAGCTTCTCTGTCAAGTTCACAAATGGAGCCAGAGTAGAGGGAGATATTTACTACTTGCTCTTGTTTCTTACAACTTTTTAAGGCACCTGATTTTCATTTAGGAAGACAAACACTATGGAGCTAAGGTGAGAACCTAAAGATTGAGAGGAAGAAGGCCTCCCTTAATACCCCCCTTTTAAACATGAAGGTAACAATATGGAAAACATACTAGTATTATCCACTTTCCTGTAGCCCTTGAATCTTCTTACTCTAAGTATGTAAAGAATGTCAAAATAAATTTTATTAATAAAAAAAAAAAGATTGAGAGGAGCCCTAGCTACAAATATACGGTTAAGCTATTTTGCCTGAGCAAATAGTTTAAACTTTCATACTACACAGAAAGAGAGGACAGAAGACAGAGACGTGAGCAAATGGTAGAGACTGTGTGGGGTAAAGAATCCTGGAAGGATCCCCAATAGTGCCAGTGTCTCCTTTTATAAGCTGAATGCTTGGAGCTTGCTCAGGTTTATGCTGCTGGGAATGCCTGGAAGGTTGTTGGGAGTACACCCACATGGAAAATGGGAAAGTGGATGGGTTGCAAATCTGTGAGACTCAAAAGACAAGGGGCAATAGCCTAATGGCAGATTGAGCCCAGGTAAATGAAACTGGTTCTCATCCTCAGATCAGGCACAAACCTTAGAGGGGCTTTGGGCACATGGAGCAAGCATGCAGGAAACACAATCAGAATCTAGGGGCTGGGCAGCCTCAGCTGACTTGGGGGTTATGTGATGGTGCAGTTGTAGGGCATCTGATACCTTTTGGTAGCCTGTGCTTTGTCTTCTTCACTAGTGGAATGAAGCAGGGCTGCATGAGGTTTGGGTCAGCTCTGCAGAACCGGCCTTTCGAGAGCAGGAGGAACACTGACTCATTTGACCATTATTTGCTGGATACTTGGTGTGTGCCAGGCCAAGGTACAGGAATACAACTTTAGAAACTTTCATCCTTATGGAACATTAGTTGAGGGAGAGCTGAGAAGCATGGAAGGGAACCTGTAGGGCTCACTGGGGAAACAGGAGAACAAAGGCAGAGGCAAAGGCAGAGGCAGAGGGAAGGAAGGAGGGAGAGAGAGAAAGAGAGAGAGAGAGAAAGAGACAGAAAGTAATGATGGCTGAAGAAATCAGGATTGTCCTTCCCATATCCAATTTGAAGGCTTCTAAATTGAGTCCCCACATTTCAGGAGCATGCATACAACACAACTAAGGGAAGCACATGCACTTGACATAAGATTGGCAGGTTCTCGGGCGAGTAGTGGGTGAGACAGGTGCACACTGCAGTGGGAGTGCCAGGAGAGCCCCACAGTCTCCCACCTTCCTCACTTCCCGACCTCCCAGGCAGAGCCTCTCCATGGAGGCTGACAGTTCTGCAGTCTCTGCTGGGAGAGGACACAGGGCTGGGGAGAGCCATCTGCTAAGTTCTTTATCTGCACCAACATGGTAACACTTTTTGCTGATTAAATTTGCTAATATAATTCTGTACCCAGTGTAAGATGGACATCTGGAGTATAAAACATATGCCTATGTTGATGCCTTACCAAGCAGAAGCAGGTATTCATTCAATGGTCAGTTCAAGACCTCTGGGCCAGTGTCAAAAGGGATGAAAGTCTACACAAAAAATTGTTAATCTGCTTAAGACACACACTTGTGTGTGAAAAAGCATGTGAAGGTAGCAACGGATCACACTCCATTCCTTTGTATCTATCAAGAAAGGAAGAACATCCTCAGCATTGTAAGGATTCCAGCACGCCCTCAGTGTGTGACTGCCTCCCAGTCCCGTGTGCACTGCAGTAAAGCCAGTGAGCTCTGCTGAGTCAGGACTCCTTGCTGGACTGATGAACGGAAGGAAGTAAAGCAAGGTCAGGGCTGGCCTAAGGCTGATGAACCTAACTTTCCCTCTGGAATTCAATCTGGAGGACCTGAGGGTTCCCTCTGCTTTGCTTTTGAGAGGGAAGAGGGACTGTGGAAAGCACAAGTGGAGGATGGAGTACTTGGCAGTCTCTCTGGTCTGTCATGGGGTGGACGGTCAGACAACAAGCAACCAGTTTTGCATCAAGCTAAGCACCAGGCTACAGGAAGGATTAGGGGAGACCAGGTCTGAAATCTCTCTAAAGCCCCCACAAGGCCTATGGATGACAGCCAGCTCTGTAATTTCACCAGTGCCACCTGCAAGTGCTGCAAGGACAGAAACACACATTCAAGTGCTGCTGGGCAAAGCAAGCCGGTAGGTGGCAGGAAGCCAGGGAGCCTGGGGTGGAATGAGGAGGGTGCCCTCTGAGAGGGTTAGTGCCAGCATCGGGGGTGATCATGGGAGAACCACACATAGTGCCATGATCTCCAATCCAACTGGGAAAACAGGGCACGTGTTTGCTTTCTGGGCACAGTAGTAGACAGGGATCAGCTCTTTGTTGCCTCACAGTGAGAACTGCTCATAAGCAAGGCTTTCTGCTCTCCTTGGGCCAGCCTCTTATAGGTCAAGGCCAGTACCTTACCATAATGGTGCCGTTGAAGCTTTTTGACACCTGAGGAGGTACAGGTGCTGCAGTTTCCTGGCCACAGGGCCTTAACACATACCCTTTCTTCTGTCTGGAAGACAATAATCTCCCCCATCCCCCAGCCGCTACCTTGATTCTCTTCATCAGTTAACTGTCTGGCTTTGGGTGGTTTCTTAATCACCTCTTTAGGGATCTCTGACTGAGTT